ATAATAATACTGCACAAAGTCTTTCTTCTGAAGATATTGATGCAATGAAAAGGTTGTTTGATTAGTGCATTTGAATCTGATTTGTTTTACTGTATGTGATTCATACATTAAAGGCTTTATTTAGAATTTATTTTTGCTTTGCTTTTTAAGACCTATTATTATCACCATTTTGATTCACATGGGAAACAGACTATGTGGCTTCGTTTATTGTTTGCGTGCCTTTTCCTTTCAATGACTTCACAACCATTGAGAAATGCTACAGATAGCTTATGACAAAAGTGACTATTTCATGCAACACTGCACGACACAATAGTATCATAACATTGCCAAATAGGCTTTAGCCGCTATGTCCATTGATGAATTTGTACTTCCATTATGCCACTTTTGTTGGTCTACCAAATGCAATTTGAAATATTTTAGTAACGTGATCTGTAATTTTTGCAGCAGCTAAGCAAATATAGATTTTCTGTATTCCTTAAATGTCATAATTGTCTTTATGCTTCACGTGTTCCACCACCACCCATCAGATGGAGGGAAAAGAGAAAAGGAAACGGAAAGTCGAAAAGTGAGAGAGTGTGTGTGATGAATAGAGAGAAAGATAGGGAGAAAAAGTGGTTTATCATCGTTTTCGTTAGCCTTAATTTAAACTAATTGGGATTTGTTTTATAATTTTCATTCTCCATTCATTTTTGTAAGCGCTGCATGAGATGCTTAACTTTATCATTTAACACAATATTTAGCTTTACTATCCTTGGCCTACTCATTTCCACATTAATTTGAAATTAATTTTATCTTCCATCTTTGTGGTGCGTCTAGTACCCTAAGATACAATGCTGTATCATTTAACTAATGGCTTTATGTAATATTTATTTTAAATTTATAAGGAAATCTGAAGCAAATTAGGCTCATAATTTCCAAACTCCTAGCTTATCATATATGAACATATCTTCTAAATTGCTGTGAACCATAAAATTCTCAATAAAAGTATGCATATCTTGTTTAATTTTCAAATTTAATGCTGCTGAATTCATTTTGGTGAAAAAAAAAAATCTAAGTGTCGAAATCTAGCCGTTACTAGTGGAAAGGATCTGACGGTCACAAAGAGCAATCCGTGGGAAGCACTCATGAATCACGTTGAAACGCCTTCCATAGATAGGCAGCTGATTTAGGAGGAGTTATATTTCATTATTGTGTAGTTATTTGTTTCCTTTTCTAAACATCTTGTATAGATCTATATATAGGGAAGAATTCATGCAATAAAGCTTAAGCTTTTCCCCCTCGTTCCACTCAATTTAACACTAAGCAATATAGAATAGTTGAACAATGGCTTGGTCCTGAAATTTATTTTTGGCTAAAATTAGTCAATTTTGTTATGCTGTCTTGAGAAACCAAACATGGTTAGAAGAAATCTGAGGAATATGTTGACGGCCTCTCTCCTAAATAAGCATTTTGAAGATTTTTTTTTTTTTTTTTTTGACGTTTTTTGGGTGGATGAAATCTGTTGACTGCCCTGAGATGTATCTTTTCAGGGAAGGTGCAACTGGTGATGAAATAGTTGAAGCTCTCATAGCTAACAGTTCAACCTTTGAAAAGAAGACAACACTTTCACAAGTGAGTTAATGATGTAAGCTTGATCAGCTTTTTTTGTTTCATATGCTGATAATTTGCAAATTAATTGCAGGAGAAATATAAGGTTAAGAAGCAGAAAAAATATGCACCCAAAGTACTCCTTAGGCGTCCCTGCTCTAGAAGGTGAGTTTATTTGTTTTACAGTATTTTACATTATTCTATTTTTTCTATTCACATTTAATATATGGTTTTCAAACTCATACCTTCAGTACAACTATAGGGGAAAAAAAACTGTCATTATATTCTTAAATTATATCTAGATGGACTTGAAAATTATTAGATTTATTTTGAGATTAGTTCTATATATAGAGTTTGTATTGTACTTGTCTCAAATTAAAACTAATGACTTTCAAGCTCGTCTTGATAAAGTTTGTTTCATAATATCCAGACAAAATTTTTATTCACTATTATACATATGAATCCGGGATCAAGCAATAGGGGTTCATGATGATTTGGATACTAGTGTTCTAAACTTAAAGATTGGACTATACTTTTTTAAATCTCCATAAATGAAAACTTTTAGGTTTTTTAACAAAAAGCCTAAATGAAAGTTAGTTCTGGAATCTGGAAACTTGTTTGGGTCCCAAACTTAGAGGAAGGTTTTTCTTTCTCTTAAAACAAAATCTTATAACTAGAAAATTATATGGGTACAACTAGGATCAATTTTAACAAATTATCAGAGATAAAGAAAAATATATAAGACAAAACAAAGATAGATGATGACCAAATATGAGGATTCCTTCATACCAAACTAAAAAATTGATCATTTGAATTGCCTTGTTTGAAGCTCGATGCATACATGAGAGTGACAACATTTTTTTTTCTTATTTTTACTTTCAGTAAATATGATTGAAACTTCCTATCCATAGGAACGTCAATACTCTGAATGCTCCCCTCTAATAAATCATAGGAGTACTGAGAATTTTTCATGGGGACCTTTTGAGCTAGGTTTTCATTTGTTCAATTCCCTTTGCCGAGCTTCTGCCCTTGAAATATGTTTTGGCTTAGTAACTTAAGCCCCTATTCTTTACACCATGTGCTTGTTCTATTTGAAGTTCATTCAGAGAAATTGTCATGTGATTGCTCTTTTTTTCATAACATCAACATTTAAAAGTTAAACTAACATGAAGTTATGGTATGCACTCATGTGTGTTTAATTTGTTTTGCAGTATATGTGAAGCATATTTCAAGAAATATCCTACTCGAATAGGGTAAGGAATGCTCGGAATTCTGTTATTGTTATGTGCTCAACTATCTTCTTTTTTTGTTTTCATCTCTTGTTTAAAACTACAATGTAATTGAACATGCTTTTCCAGGATTATATTTGTCCATGATGAGATGGTTTAGAGTTTTTCTCTTCTTGATTCATCTCTTATTTAATAATAAAATGTAAAGCAATTTCCAGTTGATGTA